TATATTATATGGCAGGTTTAGCTCTGCTCCATTCCAGTTGGTTCACGATTGACTGCCCGGAAATGAAACTGGGCCCAACCCCATAACAGAGTCATGATTGTACCAGAGCTTACAGCTTTTTGAGAAGTGTGTTGGTGCACAGAAAGTCAGTAACAAATATACAGTGAGTAATTTTTAAACTTAAGCGATTGCAACTTATTTTCTGCAACTTGGGGGAAAAGTGTTTAAAAATCCAAACACATTTGACAAACAGTCTCTGTGAAAATGCTGTGTCACACTAATGCCTCCATTAGGATGTAACACCCCCAGGTTTGGCACACCTTCCCTTGCAAGACCCGACAGTTTTAAGTGTCAAAAGTTTCAAGTTGTCTTCAGGTTCTGACTCCACCACGTTTAACTTTTAGGTGGTCAGTAGTTAAGGTTCAGTGTTGAGTAAAAGGTGAACTGATCCTGAATGTCCTTAAAGGCAACATCGACAACTATTAGAGAGGCTTGTTCGTAGAGTTGAGTGGAACCGGCTATGAGAAACAATTGGTGTTTGGGCTTTGTGCTTAAACCTATACAATCAACTGATATGTATTCTGATGAGGGACAGGCAATGAGCAACACCGCTTAACGTGATAAGTGAAAGACTGCCAATCATATAGGTGTTGTAGAGAGAACTGCAACACCCATCATGCCTTGCTGTGGTGAAAAGTGCATGAGTAACAGTGGGTAGAAAGCAAAACTCTCCGCTAAAATGTCGCCACTCTTTTCCAGAATATAAACTGACAGAATTGATGTTGTCACGCCTTGTGCTTAAAACAAAACTGCAGAGCCCTAAAACCCTAAAATTTGCAAGAACTGACAGAGGAAGGATAAAGAGGTTGACTTTAAAGAAGGACAAAAAAACTGAAGACCACATTTGAATCATGTGAACAACATACAGTACTTTTTCTTAAAAAGAAGTAACAGCAAAACACCTCAGTAAAAAAGACAATATCATGAAGCACTGTGTTTACATAGTGCTACAGCTAATTTAACACCTACGTCAGTACAAACTTCTTCTTTTTTTTTTGACCACCTCCCTTTTTGAGATTTAAGTCTGTATGGCTGTTGGAATCACAGCAGTGGTTTTAACATGGCTCTGACATGTAATATCAGGTGGTATTCATGGAAAAGCACAGTTGCAGTTCTGGCACGTTGCAGGGTTTTACATTTTCCTGCGGCTGTATGTATGCGATTACACTATGTCGCCTCGGTTTTGCTAACGTACCTTTCAACAGTCAAATATTATAATAAACTTGTAGTGCTATATGCATGGATTTTATGGTGCATAATTGCATTGGCTAATGTTTTGACAACTTATTTTCGTGTGATGACAGTCCATGTGGAGTGTGGTTAAGCAGGTGGAGCTGAGATGATGTAGATGACGTCTGATTGATGGCCGACACGGCGGCCATTATAGGCCCTTCTTGGTGGGAGCGCTGAGTTTTCTCATTCCCCTTATCCTGCCCAGCAACTCACGGACAAAAACCTGCAGGGACGAAAAGAAAAAATGAGTGAGATAGACAGCTGCACTCACTCACACATCCAGCTAAAACTATTTATTTATTTATTTTTCCAGTTTTATCGACCAGTCAAAGCTCATTCCAGCACAAGCCACATCCACCCATCCCCACAGCGCTTCCATATACAGCAATTTTTCTATCACACACCATTCTTACACTGTCGGCCATTGTTGGCCCTTAGGAGCAATGTGGGGTTAAGTATCTTATTTCCATGGTATATGAAGAAATATTTAATTGGTAAAAATATTAATTACCATTTGACCACAACACAAAGTTACGCCCTTGCTCCTGGCCCACAGCCGCCCCTATACTATAGCTACTTCTATGAACTAACCAAAATTATAATCTGTAGATGTCTGAATGCATTAAAGACTTAAGAGTGAAAGATAAGTTCTCATATGAGAGTTTGAACTGCATTGCATGACACAACTGTAGCTCAAACTATGAGCGCAACTGTTTGCGTGGACGGTAAAAATGTTATGGATAATCAATGATTGAACGGCAAAAAGTGCCGCACACAAGTTAGAGATCTCGTATTATATGAGAGGTGTAAAAAATGTTTGGTTCTTTATGAAACTGGCGGGACAAATTAGAATAATGCAGGCTGCCACAGTCTAGCGAATTAATGAGAATTTTTTTTAAAGAATCATTGGGAAACTCTCTTGGCATCCGTTCAGGGCGTTAAATGGGTAAAATTGGCAGACCTCCCAACCTATAAAACTAATCCCAGGGAGCTCCCCTCATCTTATTGTCAGTAAAACAGCAGTTTAGGAAAGTGTATTTCCTAAAATATTGAACTATTCTTTTCAAAATCAGACACATCTGATGCAATTTGACAAAATTCGACAGTCAGCTTCTCATTCATTCTGATCCGACCGAACAAGATGATTTGGAATCGCTTGTGCCGCAGGGAATTATGAGAGCAGGAGCCCTGGATGTTGAATCTGATTCAGACATATTCACTTTTTGCTGCATGCATGTGAAAACAGCCAGAGGTCGTACTGAAAGGAGGGGAAGTGAACACTAAGAAACAAACTCAACACACATGATGGTGTTGTCTTCTAATTGAGAAATGCATAAATACGGGATTATGAGACAAAAGTGAGGAAGTGGGGCAAAGACATTTCTTATCTTGGGTCTAAATCCATGATCGTGTGACTGTGGTGGAGAATATGATGGAATATAATCCCTCTGGTTACATCTGGGGTGACACTGCTCATGACCTAATTACTGATGCCTCCCCCTCCTCTTGTACCTCTCCTCCTCCTCTATACTCTGGTCTGCTTTTCTCCCTCCAGCTGTCTTTTCATATATTCCTCTCTTCCCATCTCTTTGTACAGGCTTCTATCTCTTATTCTTCCCTCTCTTCATAATCTAATGTGCTGTACTTCTTTCTTTCATCCCTGCTCCATCCCTCTCTCCTTTTGTCACCTTCACCTTGTCCCTCAATTGTCTTTCACTTGCTCTCTTTCACTGTTTATCCGCAGCTGATGGTGTTTTTCTGGGAGCGTGTTCAAAATGGCATCTGTGCTGCTCCATACTCACGGGATTACAGTGTGTGTATGTGTGTGTGTGTATGTGTGTGACACATATCAGCGGCTGTCCACCTGGCTGGATACTACTGCTTTGAATACCAACTTGACCTTGTAATAGCTGTAACAGGCTAACCTAATGACACACACACACACACACACACACACACACATGGACACACACACGGACGACAGATGGGGAGTCCAGGCATCCCCACCTATAATCACCAAAATAGCTTAACCCCACCTCACCTCAACACAAACACTTAACACCTCTACACACATGCTGGCACACACCCATTCAGTGGTAAACACACACTACACACACTCAGTAAACAGATAGCGTGTCCCTTGTGTGTTTAAAGTCTTTTAAAGCCTTTGTCGACTATAGTCAGGGTGTCAGTGAAAATAAAGAATCACTGTGTGTGTGTGTGTGTGTGTGTGTGTGTGTGTGTGTGTGTGTGTGTGTGTCATCAACATGGAGGTTCAACATACTCTTTTCTATAAAAAGCAAATTGAATAGAGCATGTGAGCATCAATAAGGTCTAGGTCACTGATATTGACTATTTTATTGTATGTGTGGATGACACTATAACATACTAACCTCTGTTGGTTTGTAGCAGTCTATTAATGATTCCTGTGCAGAGAGGAAAAAACAGAGACAGTTATTAGACGTGTTACAGCATTGTCATCAGTTCACTGCAGCCACACGATGAGTAAAATGTATTGTTTTGCTGTTGGTTAATGTGGATAGCTATTTCAAACTTAGACTTAATAATGTCACTTTCTAGAAGGTAAATTGGTGGTAAAATGCTTTGATAGTCTAAGACTTGATGGCTAATACCAGGCTTTGGTATCAATGCCAGAACAAAACAACATTTGTCTTTCGAGATGGACGAATCTACACAAACTGCTCAAAAAGTCCAGCACTCAAACTTCTGAGTATAACACAATGCGATAACATGCTTCATGTTCTGTCTGAACCATAGACTTTATATAAAGATGGACACAGCACACAAAAAATTGAAGCCAAAACATTTTGCAGTACAGGTCATAAACCCAGCTGATAAGATATGGACCAAACTCATTTTTCTTAAAGATGTTTGCAGATATCCACTAAGTTCGAATCAGATATTTGATGGTATCAAAACTGTGTGAAACATAAAGGCTGAATCAGGATTGGTCGAGACAATGACTCCAAATAATGTCAAAAGCACTGAGATGGCAACCCCTGGATATTTTAGCTTCGTTGTTATACAACATGAGGAGACGTGTCATTTATCTTTATATACACGTTGTCTAATTGACACTTGTATTCTTTATTATAGTACTGTTTGCTAAATTAGATATAGGTAGATGGACAGACATGTACACACAGTAACATACCTGCAGTTTGCTGGTTCTCTCGTCGTCACTGTTGACATCCAACAGGTCGTCTATATCTATCTCCACCTCAGGCATCTCCTCCTCCTGGAACAAAGAGATGCTCTTGGTTAGTGAGCGGCTGACACCGAGACACGTCAGGCAGACAAGGACATTGGAGAGCATAGGATGTAAATGGAAAACAAACTGAAAACTATCACCAAAACCAATCACACACTTTCTCTCACTGTCAATTTCTTCTTTCCACCTCTCAGCACAAGTCTTAATTCAAAACCCTGTTTCCAGATCTCTGCACTCCAAACAGCCCAAACATCTATTTGCCTATTAGGAACAGGCATCATATGGAAATGTCATTGTGCTGGGGCAGGGCCATTTAGTGGCTTGGTGGTTAGAGGCCGTATTCAGCTCAGTACAGCTTCAAAGGTCCTGTGTTCCTTTGGTTCATTCTACTCCACCACAAGGCTTGTGCAGAAGAGCCGTGCAGGGAGGATCAACCCCTCCCTCCCAGCTACCGCACCGTCTCCCAAACTCTCCCTTCGGGGAATTAAAGCCTGTGCAAACCATGTGCAAGTGCAGCTTCTTCGTCCAAGTGGTGGCCTTTACCAACAGCTAACTGCTCACTGACATCATACTGCAATAAAATGGACTCTACTGCTGCTGCTGTCACACCCCAGTTTACCTTGGAAAAATATCTATGATTACAAACTTCACGATTTAAGTCCAACGACAACATTAAGTGCCAAAGTGAGGGTGTGAAGGTCGGGACTTTTATGCAGGAAACCACAGTTTGCGTTACAGGCCTGTAATTAATGTTTTTATTAACAGCTCACAGTCTTTTCCCAAATGTAACAAAGCATTTTAGTTGCACAACCTTAAATTCAGTTTATGTACGTGGGCACAAAATGAAAATAAAGGGAGGGAATGAAAGCTTTTACTTCATGGAAATGAAAGGGATTTTAGTGATTCCTCCCTGAAAAACTGTGATATTACCACAGCTACAGGGCTCAGTCTGATAGAGAGAACCCCTTGACAGCAAACATGCCTGAAAGGTTTGACACCCTCTTGCTTTATCATTCCTGGACCAGCCAGGAAGCTACAAGACTAAAACAGACTCTAGTTATAGGTTGTATTTGTATTCAAGCCTCTCTGAAGACTCCTGCATGCTTTAGCCTGGAGCTTTCACTGGTATTTTCACACAGGAACGGTGGAAGGATGATTAGATTTTTGCTCTCAGCGGAGAAGTTCAGTCACTGTGATTCCAGTTTTGCACGGGTGGGTTGATGTGCACAGAATGGAATTAGCTTACAATCAAGTACAGTACAGAAAGAGGAAAGCATGGTACATTAAGAGCTCGGTCATTAACTACCGAAGATTTACTGTACCTAGTAAAGTTTTCATGTTTATCAGCAACTGTGAAGATGAATATCAAAGCAGAGTGTGCAAGAATGTGCAACATGGCGACTTAACCTCATGAGTCTTATTTACACAGTAAAAAAAATCCTCTCGACATCAGTGACACATATCGACGCTTGCTCAGATCTCATCTGAATTTGCTCACTCACATACATATGCACAAATGGCTAGCCCACCTTCATCCTTATTCCTAAGCCGTTAAGAGGCATTTACATCTGCAGCATTTTAAGCATCTCCGCGTCTCCACAGACAAGCCAAGCGTCCCCTTCGACCTCCTGCTCTGAAATCTCTCTCCGTGTCTTAGCAAGAGGGTCTCGCTCTGAAATCCCCACAGAAAAGCAAAGCGGAGAGAAGAGGGAATGTGGCAGGAAATATGAGAGCCTGTCATCAATTAGAATTTTGGTGTGCGCAGTGGAACTGGGGATATATGCAAATGTGAAAATATCAGAGGAGGGATACATGAATGAGGGGATGGAGAAAGAGAGAAAGGAGAGGAAATTATGATAATAATGGTGTTATTGTGTGTTATTACAATTCTCACACTACTACTTTTTTATTTTCACTTTTTGACAATATATCGTTTGGAATGATTGTATCATAGAAATCTGCAATTTGAAATAAAATGACATAATTTGAAATAATAAGAAAACAAACTAACAGTGACTGCACTCTAGCTTGTATAGCTCCACACTTTTTTTTAACAACTGCCTCCTGCAACAGAAAACTTAATTTGATTCAACATCATCTGACATTAATAAGGAAATAGCAAAGTCTAGCATAGCTAAATGATAATTAGCCTAGCTTGGCAGAGAAGCAGTAATTTCCCTCTCAGTGCTTCTGGCTGTGTTATAATGCATGTGATCCGTTGTGGTTTAGCTAAAGATACCTGAAAATAACATATCAAATGCATTAAGTTTATTCAACTAGTTTGTAGGTTCAAATTATGAAACAAGATCACAATGTGTTGTAGCAGTGTCATAGCTTTTCCTCAGTTCAGTCTATATCATTTATTTAAGGCTTTAAGCACAGACCACGATCAGTTTAATGATAATCCTTAAACTTAAGATTTATCCTATTTTCAACTTCACTATTTGATTTTGTAGTCATTGCTCTCTTGCATGGGGTTTGATATCGAATTAGAAAAACTCTATTCTTAATTTAGATCCTGCAAAGCTGACTGACATACCTTTCATGCCCTCAGGACAGATGAAACCCATAAACTAGAATTTCAAGAAAACACGGATGCTTCAACTTGTTGACTGCACCTGACAAATCAGGGATCATGGCCTCAGTCACTTATGGTAAAAACAACAGTGAGTGGTGTTCTACTTGCACACTGTGGTATGTTGTTTTTCATCAGAGAGACGACTCAACCTAATAATAGAGATGGATAAGTGAATTAGAATGAGCAACAGAGTGAAAGTCAGTCAGGAGGGAGAAGTTAATCTGACCTACTTCTATCTATCCATCTATGCATAGTTATCATTCAGACTGCCTATAGAGTCCATGTGTGCGTCTGCGTGTGTGTGTCTGACCATTCCACTTGTCAGCATGCAGTCCATCACCCTCTGTCACAGGGATTGGTGATGACTAGGGCAAGTATGGCATGTGTGTGAAGCATGACTGCAGGCAATAGCAGACGACATGTAAGTCTTCTCACACCCACACAGCCTTTTCCCAACCATCAATCTTTTGCAAAGAAACGCTCACCACTGGGCCTTGTCTTCCTGTGAAGTGTCAGATAAGTGCATTAAATATCCAATGACAAGAAAGGAAAAACACTTACACACTCGCATGCTTAACATGCAGATAAACACTGGAATTGTTGTTGTCCAGCTTGTGATTTAGAGAGAGCCTAAAATAGATGAGATCACACCCATTACCCGGGGGGAAATAATTTTCCATCTCGCCAGCAGTGGACGGATGACAAAAAGTGACAGCGTGCAATGTCAGGAGAGATAGACTCGCATAAACACACACAAATACATTCAAAATAATGCACATACAAAATCTGACTTCGATGATTTTCTTAGACAGTAGGTAGAGGCATGGGTTGCAAAAGGGTTCATACAAATCACACAGAACCTCTTCCCAAAAAGTGTGTGGGTTTGGTTTTAATATCCAATGAATATTTAGCAGCAGAGAGAACAATATAAACCAGACAGAAATAAAGACACAACAGTAGAAAAGGTGACAGAGGCTGTTATTGCAAAGTAATTATGAATAGCATTAACACAAATTAGTTTTTGTGAAGTATACTTTGTTTAGATCAGTCCTTTATGTCATTTCTATGTTGCATTGTTAAAGAAAATGGAAAAAAAAGATGAATCCAACCCGAAGTTAAACAGGTTATTCTCAGTTTTTGTGTAATCCTGCTAAATAATAAAACAACAGACAGAGTTAATAAAGAAATGTTTAGAAGATCATTTTTGATTGATGTTAAGTCATATACTTTGAAATAGTATTATTGTATTTGCTAATAAAATTGTGTTCTTATGGTACTCTTTGGTCCCTTACTACACATATTAAATTACTCTTTCATTTTATGATGTGTGTAATGTGTGAAATCCAGCAATAAGTATTTCTGTGTTTTAAGCATAGAAGCAGCTTTTGCTGCAGATGAGGGCAAATGTGGGTGTTTGTACATGCAGAAGAAATACATAGTAAAAACAGGAAAACAGAGTTAGTGTGTAAATCATGTGTCGAGGATAGAGTGTGCAAGAGAGATAACAAGGAGCTAAGTGTTTATTTGCAATGAAGGCGACTTTGTTTCGGCGAAGAGCGCAACCCAGCCAGCAAAAGAGTCCGAGGGAAACATAGAGAGCGAGACAGCCGTCCAGTGTGTTGTTGTTTTTGTGCGCAGAGAAAGTGTGTGCGTGTGTGTCGGACCTGTTTTCGCCGACAGTTAAGCAGCTGCAGTGTTTTCAGTCTGGATGGTCAGATGAAGTGAATCAAAGCTAATTGAAGCAGCCCCGACCCTGTGACTCACCACAAACCTCATTCAGGCTCAATGCAAACACACAACTCGGAACAAGAGTCAAACCTCTGGTGACAGAGAATCACCTCACTCACCCGTGATTCATTCTGATTTCTTTTCAGAGTCTGTATGAACCAGAACAACCAGTTCCACCATAGTCTCTCCATGGAGTGAACCAGCTGAGAGTCACCATTGTTATAAATTGGTTTCTGTCACTCTCCGTTGTTTTTGTTTTGCCCGGTAGAGTTTCCACAGTTACTCCAATCATTCATCTGTCAACCATTTCCACTACCTGAAAGATACCTAGCGGGGAAAGGCAACATCCAATTTGTTTGCAAAGTGGCTGACACACTTCCTTTGTGCCATAAATTTAGCCTTAATTGTTCCGTCAAATTGTATTCCTGGCTGTAGACAGAGTTGCACCTTTTGCTCTCATGCAACTAGTAAAGTGAGAAATTATGCCATTAGTTTAGCTCTGTTCTGTAACATTATTGCAGCCTGTGCATTTGACAAGTGAGGCGTGAGGCTGTAGCTAAAAGGTTTTGTCTGAAAGGATCATGGCAGCTGTCAAGTGCGGATGCTGAAAGTGGGAGGCATAGCGGTTGACATCACTGTCTATCAGTTGTCATTTTCTCTCTGGTCATCTTCAGTGTGTGTGTGTGTGTAGTTGCATTTAAACATGAGCTGAACTCCGGAT